AACTTTTGTTTTTAAATCTTTATATTAGGAAATCAATCGGATATGGTAGCTAGTATACAACTCACCTTTCCGTCCCCAGTAAAATAATGTCTGAATATTGCAAGATAATCGAAAAAATTGAATTTATTTTGACACGTCGATACCATGTTCACGGCGTGCCATATTGTTTCAGCGGCTTCTTCCGAAACTGAAAAGGTACTTCATGTATGATACCTTATAATGTACCGTTATATACACCTTAGGACCAGAGACATGCCACCTGAGAACAGCGGTAGCTTTATAACTTAGTGTTACTCGTGTTGTTTCTAATTGGTTTCGCTCTTCAATTGTGACTTTTCTTACATGCAAAGTAACGTATAAAATCGTGTTCTTGTGTAAGGTATATATAAAATAAGTTGGTGACCAAAATTTACGATCTGGCGACCAAAATTTTTCCGTTGGTCGCCAGCTGGCTCCCAAACAAACAGTTAATTCGAGCCCTGCACCACCCCTATAACTTTGAAGGAAACCTGTATATTGGTCCATTGAGCCCAGCCTTAACTTTTGAGAGTGAACCAGAATTTTTTACTTTGTTTCAGGCTGGTTTGTCAGTGGCTCTTATTTTCTGCACATATGAACAGTGCCTGATGATGGCAAGAGGGTACATTCATGATGATGACGTGCCTGTGAGCACTTCCACATCACCAAGTTAACAACATCACAAGGTGTAAAGTCCTAGAATTGAACACTTATCTTGAGGATGAAAAGAACTCTTTTTTATTATGCCAGTCACTTTTATTATGAAAGTAACTTTGACAAGATTGGTATATTAGTATTAAATAATGCTTTGAATGTTTTACTGTCATATAATACTAGATTGTATGTAAATAATAGTAACTATTATTTATATTGTCAGAATTAAGTTAGTATATGTTATTTGACAGTTAGGTTTTTCATTTAACGTGTAATATAATACTTATTAAAAGCCGATTAGAAGTTTGAGGTTCTCGTTATAAGTCGTAAAACTAAGGAACTGTATACAAACAAATTTTTGCAATATTAGGGAAATACTATTTTGACATTCTGAATTTCTCACATTCACATTTACATTTAATGCTACAAAATTAATATAGGAAGACATCTGGAAATGTCAGTCAGTTAATATATTTATTTTGATGCACTACTTTCAAAAAACAGAGCAACAATTTTACAGATATCATATAACTTATGATACAAAAAGCATGTTCGCCTTTTTTAACAAGTAAGTTTTGGGGTTACATTTGGATTCTACAATTTTTGTGCACAAATATGATTTATATAAAATATTATTATTCAGTAGTGAAGGTGGATTTTTGCTGGAAACCTTTGATCTCTTTTGGTTGAAAATCTAAGTTACTAAACAAAAATTATTACCTCTGTGAGCAATGTAAATTCAATTGCTTGATTATGTCTGGATTTGGGAACAGACCTCTATTTACGTGGTGAGTGTATAAAAATGAAATCAACGCTGATCGATATGCAACCTCAACTGTCTGGTGTTACATGTATTTCGTATGAAATATCAAAATTTATAAAGTATAAGAAATAATCTTTAAATAGTTTACTTGTGACACTTGCATCGAGTAAGTCGATTGGGATCAGTTTAAATGATACTACAGAATTTTCAAATATCTTTACTTATAATACTCTTACCCCTTTTCTGGGCATTTTTTATTACCAAATATATGTATCTTGATGAGATTTTAAAAATTACCTACAGACTGCAATAAAATCTTGACCAGCAGCAAACTTCTATTTAACTGAGTTTCCTTTTAACCTTTCATCTTCAGTTTACTTATAACAAATTCAAGAGATGGGATACAAGAGTAAACAACCTGATCATCTCAGTAACAAATCCTATGTTGAACCTGAGCCAATCAAAATGTCACTCCTTTTCGACATGAAACTTTCATTAACATCAAATTTGCTCAAGAGAGTCATTGAGAGATTTCCTTTAATTTGACTCACACTTGCTGAAAGTTAAAGAAAACTCTTGCACAGTTCTCATCCATAACTACTTATGGCATCCTTGCCTCCCTTATAAAGGTGTCATATTACACCCTATCTCCCTATAATGACCACCCCACCCCCTACACTGTATTTACAACATCAAGAACATATTAAATTATGAAAGAATGTGTAGAGTCTTTCCTGTCTTTGTAAATAAAGACATCATGGTCCTGTCCATGACGTTTCAAAAGGTAATATACATTTCATATCTGTTCAAAAACATATTTGAATGATGATGTAATTTAAATTGCAAAATCAAAATTTGGGGCAATTTTGATCATGTGACATCCCTTGGAACAAAGAGAGGTGGGTGTGGTAGAAGTGGAATGAATCTTGTCTTCAGATCTGCGGCCATTTTAGCAATTTCTTCATCATCTCTTTCGAATAACTTGATGGCATGTGTGAATGTAAGGGAACCTGTTAAACAATGAAATTACTTAGTCACTTTTACATTTCCATAACACAGTATAACCTAATATTATTTAACTTCACTCAAACATCCCTGTTACCCTGGAAGCAGTTGGTTTATCCTACGCCGAATGTTCAGCGTAGGAGAAACCAACTGCTTGCAAGGTACATCCCTGTGTGACCATCTCTTAAAAGTAACCACTTTTTCAAAACAGTGATCAACAAATGATGTGACTCCATCAGGAAATGAGGGATGCATTACAATCTAAAACATGTGAGCAAGGGTAGGGGATAAAAGACTTGATGGATGATCTCCAAAACGTCTTTGTTCCATGTGTCACATTCCTGATCATAAACTGACTCTTCATAGCGGAGGAAACAAGTGCCATTTTTGAAATTGACTAATTTCTTTGTTGAAGCATTCATAAAGCTTCAGATTATTATTATCCAATCAAAGAACAGCAAAACCACAGTAGAGTAATCACTTTATGGCATGTTCAGTAACTTTGAGGCTCAGTCAGTATCAGACAAAATTCACCATTAACTCATACTGAACTGTTTAAGCCATTTGTAGAATAATTATTGTTCTAAATGACACAGCTGTTAGAGAACAGACGGTTCAAGTTACCTTGATCCCCATCATCTGAAAAGCCATGACTTTTTATCACCTCTTGCTGAATCTCGGCAGCAAATGGCAGTCGATCTTGAAGAAGCTTTACCAAGTCATTTCCTGCATCCTGTTCAATTTCCCGTATTTTAGCCTTGTTTTCTGGTTTCTCAAAGGTTTGCAAAATGTCTCTCATGGCAGCTGTTAAACATAAAAACAATTCAGTGATAGATTTGGAGAGTGGTGCCAGGGTATATTTTGTTATAATTTTATCTCACAGTAAATAAGTCCATGCAAGGATTTTAATTTTGTTGTTTAGTGATTAATATAACAGAATAAATTCAACATGTTTCCAAAAAAGGGTTATAAATTTTAAATGTTAACTGACTGTGTAGGATGAAGATTACACATCAATCAGCAGCTTCCCCCCACAGGGTATGATCCTTGGGGACCCTGGGGGATTTGTTCAAAAGCCCAATGAAATCTCATAGTGGCGACCCCCTGTTAAGTGTTAAGTACCCAGTTATCAAATTCAAAGTCCCTTCCCCCCCCCCTCAAAAAAAACGTGGACTTGCAAAATGTTTGTATTTGAATAAATAGTCATTTCTACAAAGCCTCATGCTAATTTCTGACAAATCAGTCTGCTAGGCGGCTAACCCCTATTAATTAAGCAGCCTGGTCTCTTATCAAATATAAGAGGTTCAAAATGTTTTTTTAACAGGCCATATTTCTGTCATTTCTAGCCCTTAAGAAAGAAGGTTTAGAATTCATAGCCACTGATATGCAAAACATTCCCCACCCTTCTATGAAAAAGGTTGGTTTTCATGGGAAAATTCCAGTCCTCGACCCTCTCCCTCCCCTCTCTCAACTCAAGAAGCTACTCCCACGGCAAGATTGTGATCAAAACCTTGATTCTCCATTAAAAACAGTATTAACTTCCCTTAGACTCCTACGTAATAGGGTAATAATACTGTGTTACTGGCATCAATTCCCTGAATTCCTGGAGTACTCTAGCCTAGCATAATAATACCCTGAATAATAACATTGTTCTTTCGTATTCCACAGAAGATGCGTAGATGACGCGCATTTCTGAGAGGTTCAGCTGTTCGCGTCTCGTGTAGTTCTATTTTGAGCTGGATCCTTTGGACAGGACAGATTCAACAGATTTTTCATTCCGATTGCAACTTAAATGCTTAAACAATCTCAGAGTATTTTCCGGTCGTCAAGTAAAGCAGGGAAAATTAGAAGCCATTAGAAAATTCTGTATGCAATTAGCAATGAAAAATTTCACTGATTAGATCGTAAACAAGGGAACTCGGTCATCCCACCTTTCACTTGTTCCACCGTTACATTCGACAACCGATTTTGAGCCATCACAAAATGAAACGAAACTTCCAAAAGCCGTCGTAAACACAGAAAGTCCCAAATGCCCAACCTCTTCCCCCCTTACGTCACTTCCGGTCTGGAAGCTATAAAGAGCGGCACCTCAGCACTTTCTACCAAACTGTGTTTGACACGAGTGCGTTATGGCGAGTGGGTCAGTACAATCTGTTTTCCGTTAATGTTTACAGTCATTTCTGCTGATTTATTTGACCCTAATGTGATCTGATATTCTGTAGAGCTGGTCCAACTCATTTCCTCGTTTTCTCGCCTTGTATTTCAGTTCGCAGACGATAAAATGTTCGCATCATCCCGAATCTCCGTTGATCGAAGACTATCGTGCGGGAGATATGATTTGCTCAGAATGTGGTCTTGTTGTCGGAGATAGGTAAGATTCTGAGTATTTACCTCTAAAATATACTTCTCTGATTTCATAAGAAACCGGTGAGTTCCTTGGCTGCTGTTGTTGTGTCTCAAACAGCTTGAGATGAATTAATTTTAAAACCACTTCCACGAGCACCGAAACATATTTTCCAAGATAGAATCACTTTTCAATTTGGCTTCTTCCGTGTTCAGTGCTCTTTTTCCTTTCCATATGTATCTGATTTTTTTTCTTTGGCGAAGATAAAATTTTGCCAACCTGTTGGTTATAACGTGAAACGCAAACACGTTAACACCGGTGAGAACTGGAACTACCAGTCAGTTCCCAGCGTGTGGGTCACTGATTCATGACTGCATATTGGTGTGCTGACGTCATCTTTTTATATAACAAGGAACTAAAAGCTGCAGTGGATAATTACATTAAAGGTTGATGCTTGGATAAGTTCTGCTCTTTCACTTACTAACAGTTGAAAACAAAACACTTATATAATGAGGAACTAGAAGCTGCAATGGATATTAAAGGTTTATCCTTGGATAAGTTCTGCTCTTCCAATAGACCATTTTACAGTCAGTAAATACAAAATGCAGACTGCAGACTGGGTACAAAATGCAGACTGTACACTGCAGACCGGGAACAAAACACAGACTGAGAATAAAGACTGTTTTTTGTCAAATGCATGATAACATGTCATTTTCAACTTACCGAGTGTCACGCAATCTCTTTTCTGCAGTCATCTTCCACTGCTTTTTTTTTTTCATCTAATAAGTGATAACATGCTGTAACATGTCATTTTATAGCTTACTTAGTGTATTCTGTGATCATCATCCAAATTGTGGATTATTCTTGGCTATATTCATTATCTTCTTTCTTTAACAGAACTTTTAAAAAGCTTTCATAACTTGTTTCATGGAAATATTATCTGGATCTATCTAAGAAAAAGTGAATAAATAAAAGTGAATCTTGTAGCAAATTAAAGAAAGTCAAAGTTTCCTACACGTGCAGTGTGTCTTTAAGTACAAACGAAGAACAATCGGCAAATTCTTACAGGAAAAAGCAAAGCGTCATTTTCATGACTGGTCGTTTGTTTACTTTTCTTGTCACTGCTTGGTAACTAGTTATCTACGCAATCATTAAATAATATAGAACAATCAGTGAGTGTTCACCCTGAGCATTGAAAAGCAGAGAGGTCTGTATCAAAGCAAGGTCACTGCCAGCCTTGCTTGCATTCATAGGCCAGGTAACTAAGCGCACAATTGTAACATGGCCTCTATAGGGGTATTTATTTAAGGTTACTTCCCACCTTCAC